GAGCTAGGCCTTGAGGCTTTGCATTTTGACAGGTCTCCATTTCTTATTCTGAATACTTTTGTGAGCATATTTTGTGTTGTATGAAAAATTACCTTTGGAAAGCGCATGCCGCTAAGTGATTCACTGAAATACAATCAGATTAAAGAGATAGGGAGTTTAATTATTAAGATTCTTGCAACGGGGTATAATTTCTGCCTTTCTTCCATCCGCTATGCTGTCCTTGGCTCTAAATATTTAGGCAATGAGCTTCTGTCATGATTTTATATCTGTCTCTAAGGGTATGTCTACACTATGAGCTAGGGGTGTCAGTCCCCCGTTTGTGTACACATATTCACACTAGTTCTCATCAAGCTAGTGTGAGTATAAATAGCAGTGTAGCCATGGTCGCATGGGTAGTGGCAGCAGAGGCACGGCTGAGTCATGCCAAGGACATACCTGCCAGCGCTGCTCTACTGTGCCTCTGTTGCCACTACCCGTGCTACTGTGGCTGTATTGCTATTTATACTCGTGCTAGCTCAATGACAGCTAGCGCGAGTATATGCACACAATCAGGGAAATCACAACCCCACTTCATAGTGTAGACCAGGGGTTCTCAAACTTCATTGCACCACAACCCTCTTCTGACAACAAAAATTACTTCACAACCCCAGGAGGGGGGACCGAAGCTTGAGCCCTCCTGAGGCCCACTGCCCCAGGTCGGGGGGGGGCCAAAGCCCAAGCCCGAACCCCACAGCTCAGGGCAGGGTAGTCCAAAGCTGAAGCTCAAGTGCTTCAGCCCCAGGCAGGGGGGCGGCAACCTGAGTTCTGCCATCCAGGGATGAAGCCCTTGGGCTTTGGCTTCGACCCTGGGCAATGGGGCTCAGGCTTCAGCACCAGGCCCCAGCAAGTCTAAGCCAGCACTGGCAACCCCATTCAAAGGGGGTTGTGACCCACTTTGGGGTCCCGACCCACAGTTTGAGAACTGCTAGTGTAGACATTGCCTCAAGGTTGGTACCTAAGGAGTTTGAGTTATTTGCCTAAGATCACAGTAGCAGGGTTCAGTTCATGTTGGTCATGTGGAGAAAAATCCATGGTTCATTGGCAGTGGATCATTTTGCAAGTTCACCTACAAGCTCACATGGGGTTTTGGGTTCTACACAACTCAGAATCTCCATTAAAATAACGTTCACCTTTTCTCCAAGTAGGATGCATCTTTTCTTCCTTCTCCATTTGTCCACCAAATCTGATCTTGTTTGTCATCATGGGGAAGTAGGTGCTGATGACGTGACTCCTGGTCTATCTTGTGCTACTTGCTCTATGGTCTTCCCCAAAGTGGTTAAGAAGCATTTTTTCTGCTTCTGTACCTCCATCTTTTTGTTCTTCCCCATTCAATTCAAGGTCTTATGAGGTGTTAAGTGGGAAGAAAAAAAATTGTGTCCCTGTCGCGAGGCAAGTGCACCCCATCCCTTCTTGGGATGGGGTCGGGGTAATGACGCGGCTGAGTCTATACAACCATCACTTGTCTTGGGATAGCTTGGCCTAGGGTAAAAGTCAATATGGTGGGCCTCTCTCAGGGATGTGTGGCCTAGTGGTCAGAGTTAATAGGGCTACTCTGTTTGGCAGGGCTGTGTGTCCTAGTGACCAGAGCCAATAAGAAGGGCTTTACAGCCTAGTGGCCAGGGTCAGTAGGACTGCCCTGTTCAGCAGGGCTGCGTGGCCCAATGACCAGATTCAGTATAATAGCCCTCTTCAGTAGGGCTGTTTGGCCTGGAGATAGGTCAGGGGAGTGGGCCACCACCTGAGGGAGGGGGGGTGGCTGGGTAAGGGGACCTGGGCCCTCACTGCTTCACAGGGTCCCAGCTCAGGACCTTGTCATTGGCAAGTATGCCTGCCGCTGAGTCAGCAGGGAATCCGCCTGAAACACACTCACCCCATGTGGCACAATAACTAGTCCCCCTGAGCTACTTTCTACCCTGTTCCTGATGCAATGGCTCCAAGATCTCTGGGCTCCTCTCCTTGGGCGTCCTCCGGAGTCTCAGTGTCCCTGGCTTCTGCCATCTGGGGCTTTCACAGTTCCCAGGCTGGAGCTTGCATCATGTGTCCTCCCTCCTTCTTGGTCAGTCCTGAATGAGCCGAGCTGCTCCCTTTTATATCTAGTCTCCAGCCGGAGCATGCCCCACCAAGGCTGCGGGGGCATGGCCTCCTCGTCCCAGAGAGTAGAGTTAACCCCCACAGTACCAGTGCGGGGCACGTGTACCCCATCACAGTCCCCTACCACTAACACTCCCATTCCCAACTAACTCTATTACTGAATCAGCTGCAGAGAAATCCTGTAATATTTAGCAGGGTAGTTAAAAACCTCCCTTGGGGTTTCCGAGCAACCATGCCCTAGAGCAGGGGTCTCAAACTCAAATGACCATGAGGGCCACATGAGGACTAGTGTATTGGCCCGAGGGCCGCATCACTGACACCATCCGCTCTCGTGTCCCCGGCCCCACCCCCACTCCACCCCTTCCATGAGGCCCCGCCCATGCCCCATCTCTTTTCCACCTCCTCCTCTGAGCGCGCGGTTCCTGCTCTTCCCCCCTCCTTTCTGGAAAGTGCTAAGCGCCACCAACAGTAATGCATCTCACTCAAAGGACAAAACACGCACTTAGTTAGATTTACTTCTGTTAAAGCCTCCCCACTGCACTGGGTGCACCACCACTCCACCCCTGCTCTGCCTCTTCCAGGTTTGTAGAAATTTTGGTGGTGCCCAGAACCTGCCCCCCCAAACTCCGCCCCCACCTGCCTAAGGCTCTGGGGGGGAGTTTGGGTGCTGGGTGCAAGCTTCGGGCTGGGGAAGGGGGTGAGGGGTGCAGGCTCTGGGATGGAGTTTGGGGATAGGAGGGCGTGCAGGGGTGAGGGATGTGGGGCTGGGGATGAGGGGTTTGGGGCATTGGAGAGGCTCAGAACTAAGGCAAAAGGGAAGGGGAAGGGCAGCCTGCCCTGGCCATAGTGGAGGGGGACACTAGGACCCTGCGGCAGCAGGTGATGTTGGAAGCCGGCAGAGCGGAGTGGAGTCAGCATGAGCTGCAGGCTCCCGGGCGGTGAAGGGGCAGCAAGTGAGCCTGAGGGACACTCGGGGGAGATGCATGGGGGTGACAGGCGGGGCCGGGGGAGAGACCCGGCCCCAAACATTGGGGAGCAACAAGCAGGGAGCTTAGCTGCCATATACAATAACGTCGGGGGGGGGGGGAGGAGTTTGGCGAGGCCGCAGGGAAGAGCTCCGCGGGCTGCATGTTTGATATCTCTGCCCTAGAGTTTGAGGCATCATAGCTATCGTGTTTGTTTGAAAAACCCAGGTCTTCCTGAGTTACCGCACTAAGGATTCAAATGCCTTTCCGCAACCAGTTCAGTAGATAAATGGTTTACAGATGTAGTGGATGTCTTTCATGGCTGTATCAAGGATCAGAGGAGATCAAAAATGAAACCAGTGAGGCATCAGCCTTTTCTAGGTGCTGGTGGCATTCCTAAAGACCATAATTGGGGGAGAGACTTTTTAGAACCCCCTGAAGATCCTGGGAAGAGGCCCGGAGAATTCCATCTAGACTTAGGCACTATAGTTTCCTCCTGCTCCTGCCTATCCCATCCTAAGAGATCTAAGACAAGGTTGGGTGGTTTCCTGGGCCAATAAAGGGAGAGACCCAGCTGTTTGGGGAGGGGGAGGTGTGTGGGAGGCAAGGGAGGCAAGGTACCATGAAAATACCTTGAGGCCAAATTCCTAGAGCTTTCTTGAATCTGGGCTGAATTTAGTGGTTTGCAAAGCAACACAACCCTACCATGATTTTTGACCTCTAGTCACTACAGCCCAATATTGTCATGCCAAAATTAGGAACCCAGATAAGTGACCTGGCCTTAAGAGATGCCGCTGAACACCTGGAACTCCCACTGAGGTGAAAGGGAGCCAAGTGCTCAGCACCTCTGAAAATCAGACCGTTTTCATTTATGTGCCTTTTATGATGTTAGGCACCTAACTTTAGACGCCCTCATTTGCAAATGTTGATCTACCTTTAAAATTACAGTCCAAGATTCTCTTGGCTTCCATTTCTATATTAATCACTAGACAGCTCTGACGGTTGCTCTATGTCTTGTTGGACAGCAGAATGGTGATCAGGAAACTGAATAATAATGAACTTTCATAACAATAATAATGGACCTTCACTTTCAGTAACACCAATTTATAACAGAATCCTGTCAGGCCTCACAAATTAAATGGGTTCTGGACAGGTTTATAATTTGGATGGAAGATCATCATCATCATCATCATCATCATCATAGTGTTGTTGATGGGTCAGCAGATGACATAATTTCCTCTGAATCATTACTGAATAGTATCCCAGAGTGATACTAGTGAGCCCTTTGAGCCTCAATGGAACTGCCATCTTTTGGATGAGTTGTAGAATGACAGCAGTTCAGAGATTGGAAAAAACTTCGTTTAGTTTCTCTCTCTCTCTCTCTCTTCTCTGGCCGAGCAGAATGATTCCCTGTTGTACATTTACTATTTTTAAAATGTATTGATTTAAAATCTTCTAGAATAGCAAAACAGATTAAAAAGACATCCTAAAAAGCCTACCATAATAGAAATAAAATAAACAAAATATATTTTGGGGGCAAAAAAATCTATGCCTACTTCTCACTCACCCAGTGGGTATTTAGCTGTATTTTGTTTTGTCAGGCCTAGTTTTTGAATGTCCCAAATAGTGGGATATTTTTAATGTTTATCTTAAATTATCTCTTAATTTCACCCCATACATTTTTATATCATTTATATGATCTCAGATAATTATTTTCCCTCCTTACTATTTAACTTTCAAATATTTTAAATGTTTAGATATTTTAGACTGCTCCCTTCTACTTGTCACTAACCCAAATTATACATTTTTAACGCTTTTAGTTTGTCATTATAAATCAGTAGCTCAAGCTCTCTGTTTTCCCAAACTACACAGTAAGGATAGTTTAACTGTTTTCTTTTTCTCTAGGGCCACCTTCTGCTCCACGGAATGTGATTTTTAATATTAATGAAACAGCTCTTATGTTGGAATGGAGCCCACCTAGTGACACGGGGGGGAGAAAAGATCTCACCTACAGTGTCATCTGTAAGAAATGTGGATCAGACACCAGCCAATGTGAGATATGCGGTGGAGGTATCCGTTTCATCCCAAGACATACAGGCCTGATTAACTCATCTGTGACTGTGCTTGATTTTGTGTCTCATGTGAACTACACGTTTGAAATAGAAGCCATGAATGGAGTCTCTGAGCTGAGTTTCTCCCCCAAGCCATTCACAGCTATCACAGTTACCACAGATCAAGATGGTAAGTTTTGTTGTTATGCATCAATTACTGCCTGTACAGTTTGTGTATATTAGTTGTAGCACCTGTTTTAATGATATCCAATTAGATGAGAAGTTTTGCAAATTATTAGAAGTTGCTAAGTGCCTTCTGTGTAGGGTTACCATGTGTCCGGGTTTCCCCGGATATGTCCGGCTTTTTCAGCTTTAAATGCCCGTCCGGGGGGGGAGGGGGGAGGATTTCTAATAAAGTAGAAATGTCCGGGATTTCCCCCTTCCCTTCATGCAGAGTGCGGTGCGGCTGATTGGACAGCTGGGCCTGATTGAAAGCCGCTCGCAGCCACTGGGGCCTCTAGCAGCCAGAGTCCCTCCCCCTCTTCCCTCCTCCCCCGCAGAGCAGCGCGGCAGTGTTTGGTTGCACGTGGAGCTCGCAGCTCTCCCTCGGCCTGGTGGGGGGGGCAGGCAAGGGACAGGGAATGGGGGGGGTAGATTGGTTGGGGTTGGGGGGGGCTGTCGGGAGAAGAGGGTGTAGAGAGCGGTTGGGGCAGTCAGGGGACAGGGAGCAGGGAGACTTAGATAGGGGGTGGGGTCCTGGGGGCAGTCAGGGGGACAGGTAGGGGATAGGGGGGATTCGTGAGGGGGGGCGGGAAGTGGGGAGGGGG